AGCCATTGATCATGGAGCCTAGAAAAAAAAAATTCCATATAAAAAAATCTTTCAAAAAAGGAGATATTTTCCTTTTTTAAGATGGATGTCGGTCCCAGTCTCACCCAGATACCAGGGTTTTAATAACTTTTGCAGGGCTCGACACTAACAGTGGCCCACTAGCCACAGACTAGTAGAAATTTGGTTTAGGCTAGTGGTTTTCGATTTCCACTAGCCAGTTTGGCTAGTAAACAAACTGAAATTGTCTTCGTCTTACCATCTAAGATTTCACTAGCCACTTCGCTAGTAGTTGAATAGTTAGTGTTGAGCCCTGCTTTCGGTATTAGAGGCTGCTAAAGGTGTAAGAGCTTGTGGTGCCTTAAGATAGGATCCAAATATGAGAGGGTTCTCACAGGCTAAACAAACAGAAGTAAGAGGTCTTACAGGCTGTGGAAGACCAATGCTAACTGGCTTGTATAGAAAGCCTGCAGAAATCAACTGGTTCAAACCAAAAATCTTAAGTTGCAAACTAAATAAGCTAAGCTCAGGCTGTGAAATTCAAAATCTACCAATGTCCTCCCATTTAGCAACTCAACTGGAACACACTCTGATAATAGCAGACAGTTTATGTGAGGAGTTGATACCAACAAAATAGCATAATTTCTTTTTGACTGAGGAAAAACTTTAACCACACATTTTCATCTTAGGAGGCATTTCACCTCTCCTCTTAAAAAAAAAGACCCTCTTCCTTTCCCCGAAAAAGATGAAAACTTCAATTGGATAATCCTCCAAGTTATGTCTAGTTATACAGTATGAGTTTGGAATACACTGACCCCTGAGAGTGACTAATTTTCTCCTTACAAGAGTGACTAACATCTAATTTCTTCTTACAATATCACCCCTGAATCAAGCATAAAGGTCACAAGAATAAAGGAAATGATCACCAACTAAAGAAGCTCTTGATTGTTAAACAAGCTCTCCTTGTTAGCACCTTACAAAACTTATAGGTAACAGGATGGAGAATATGCACACTGATGTTGGGTATAAAAAGTTAAATTTCACTGACAAGAAGGAAATATTTTGGGAGCCACAGCATTCATATCTAGTCTCTACTCTAGGATTGCTTGGAGCTTCAGGGTATAGAATTGTATAGAATAACACAGTTGAGACTTCCTTGCAAAATTTAAGATTATAATACTTTGTAAACAACAAAAATTGTTTAATACCATTAACCTATTATTACAACTGCAACAAAACACATTATGTTCCATTCAAGTTCTCTCTCTAGATTAAGTATGGTAAACTACAGATAAAGATATCAGTAACACACAACAAAAACTGATCAATACCATTAAAGCCAACGACTGTTGTTACAACTGCAACAAAACACTTACATCATGTTCCATTCAAGTTCTCTCTCTAAATTAAGTATGGTAAACTACGAATAAAGCTAATATACAACAAAAACTGACCAATACTATTAACCCAAAGACTATTTTTACAACTGCAACAAAACACTATAATTAAGTTCCATTCTAGTTTTCTCTCTGAACTAAGTTTGGTAAACTATGGATAAAGCTAATATGCCAATTAAAAGCTTCAACATTACCCCTGGGCAACTCATGAGCATTCAAAAGAAAATATCAAATCCAGTGTTTAGGGGGGGGGGATTTGAAGAAACCAATCTTCAAAAGTTCAAATGCTTAGTGGGGGTTGCCAGGGGAGGGGGGTTGAAACTTTAAATTGATTAACACTGCATAAACAACACAAAAATATGATAACAATGGCACATGAAATAGAAGATATCATTCAGTTATCCCCTCAAAGTCTGAAATGTGTGATTTGAATTTTACTCTTATTGATTAACATAATTATCAGCTACTAGCAAATATTGAAAAGATAATTACCCAGTTAGGTTATAACTAAAAAAAAGTGTTAACCCTCTAACTCCCAAGACCTGATTATCAATTCCCTTCTCTGGCAGCTTCACATTTCCTTGTAAATAATTTATTAGTTACAAGAATTCAAGATAACAACTTCTACCTGATAAGTTAGAGTATTCTCATTACCTGTTTACGGGAAAATGTATCGATGATGTAAAGACAAGTT